GTAAAGAGAGTATTTCCAAGAGGAAGTTATTATTACCCAGAGCTGCAGTGAGGCCAAGTAGACAGACATGGAAAGGTGTTCGTTGGGTTTAACTAGAAGGAAGTCATTAGTGACCCTGACAAGTTTCAGTGGAGCAGTGGGGCCAGAGCCAGATGGGAGTGAACTGGGAAATGAGTGGGAGGTGAGGAAGTAGAAGTGAATATAAACAACCATTAAGAAGTTCGGACAGGCAAAGGAAGGACAGCAGAAGGGCAGTCCCTGCAGGGGAAGGCATAGAGGGAGGGTTTTATTTGATGTGGGAGAGAGTTGGGCATGTTTAGGTACTGATGGTAAGAGTTTTTCAGTTTTCCAGTTTTTATACCGAAGTCATTTTTCTTTCCTCTGACTCCTGCTTTCTGTCTAGAGGCCTGAGTAGTTCCTGGAAATCTCAGAGCAGATCTTTCAGGAGCATCAGAATTCTCTCTTGCTCATTCATTATCAACTAACTCTTACCAACCAACTTTTGCTATCAACTCATAAGCCCACATTCCCCTCTGACTTTTTTCCAGATGCTCACACTCATCTTAGATAAAACATCCCTGAAAAATGTTAATGGGGGTAAAGAAAACATAAGTACGTTTCTCACAACTCAAATTGACCTATATAGGATTTCCAACTGAGAGATGAACATTTTGGACCAGTTTTTAAAAATCTGAAGAAATGGTTGCTTAGGATGAACATTAATTACACCTTTAGTCATTGACTTTAAAGAAATTTATTTATTTATTTTAATTGGAGGATAATTACTCTACAATGCTGTGATGGTTTTTGCCACGCATCAGTCTGAATCAGCCATAGGCATACACGTGCCCCCTCCATCCTGCAGCCCCCTCCCTTCCCCGCCTCCCACCTCCCTGCCCACCCCACCCCTCCAGGCTGTCACAGAGCACCGGCTTCAGGCGCCCGATGCATTGACTTGTTTTATAGCTGCTGCTGCTGCTAAATCACTTCAGTTATGTCCGACTCTGCGCGACCCCATAGATGGCAGCCCACCAGGCTCCTCCTTCCATGGGATTTTCCAGGCATGAGTACTGGAGTGGGTTGCCATTGCCTTCTCCGCTTTTATAGTTACTTCACTATTATTTATTGACTTCCTAATACATAGCATGTGTTTGGCATGGATCACCTGACACTGACCTGAAAATCTCATTTTGTAAGTATTTTACAGTTTGAAGATAAATTTCTGAGATTTACGATGATTTTCTACATTTTTGGTACAATGCTTTATGCTACGTCCAAACAATATTATTTATGGTTTAGCAGAAACATTTTTATTGATACCTTACATCCAAATTCCCTTTCTACTTCTAAAATAAGCCTTTCTGGGTGATTCTCAGCAGGAAAAAGGACCTGATAGCTACAGTAGAAGTAAAATGGGAGACCAGATACCTTCTCTTGATGACCACTGGCAGCTGAGATGTGGACAACTGACTTAGAATTAGCCAACAGATCCTCTCACCCAGAGTCATATCCTGGAGAAGCAATAGCAAACTTCAGGTAGAAAACTGAGACTCACTGTTGATGATGGCAGCAATGCTGAGTGCCCAGCGGTTATGGTGTCCATGGCATCAGCCAAGTCAGCCTGCCCCAGGGAGCTGCTCCTGGCAGTGTCCTCTATTGTCCAGCTCCTCTTGGTTCCTCTTTCTGTTCTGAACCTGCTTCCTGTGGAGTCACTGAGCTCTCTGAGACCCTTCCAAAAAATTTCTCTTCTGCATAGGTTACCTGGAGGCACTTTCTATTCTTTGCCATCAGGAACTTTACTTAACCGATTCAGAGGGTCACAGTGGAATAATAAAGCAGCCAACAAAAGCACTTATACGAGGCTAACATTTGTGGACTGCAAACATTGTGCTAAATGTTTTAAATAAAGGATGTCACCAGATCATCAAAACAACAGGATAAGGCAGGCATGTGGGTCTATTCTTTCAAGAGTCATCTCAAGGGGCTTCTTTTGCAAGAAGGCTTTTCTAATCTCCTTTCCCACTTGCAAGTAGGCTTGACTTCTCCCTTGTGTCCATTCCATTCTGTGTTACATAAAGAGGAGAGAATGTGTATATGTGTGTATATATATGCGTGTGCATTAGCAGCTCAGCCAGGTCTGACTCTTTGTGACCCCATGCACTGTAGCCTGCCAAGCTCCTCTGTCTATGGAATTCCGCAGGCAAGAATACTGGAGTGGGTAGCCATTCCCTTCTTCAGGGGATCTTCCCAACCCAGGGATTGAATGTAGGTCTCCTGCATTGCAGGCAGATTCTTTACTGTCTGAGCCACAAGGGAAGCCCCTAAATATATACTTATTTTATATATGAATATATATATAGTACACACACACATATATACACATATACTCTCCTCTTATATACAATATTAAATATATAAAGTATGTATAATATGCATCACATTATAATATATAATATAATATGTAGTATATAATATTCCCCCTCATGGATCCCAGCCTTGTTGTGGCAAAGAGGCTTGTGTAACTCAATGAAACTATGAGTCACACTGTGCAGGGCCACCCAAGACAGATGGGTCACAGTGAAGAATTCTGACAAAACATGGTCCACTGGAGAAGGAAATGGCAACCCATTCCAGTATTTTTTTCCTGGAAAACCCCATGGACAGTATTAAAAAGGCAAAAAGATGAGTCCCCCAGGTTACGAGGTATCTAATATACTACTGGGGATAAAGAAGAGGGCAATTGCTAATAGCTCCAGAAGGAAGGTAGTGGTTGGGCCAAAGTGGAAATGCTCAGTTGTGGATGTATAATATGTTTATTTTATTTCCTAGTGATGTATTAAACTTACTATGTGTCAGACACCATGCTTAGACGTTCTCTCACATGATCTCATGTCATTTCCACCAGAACTTGATGAATTAGATTTATTAACTATTTTACAAAAGAGGAAGTGACAATACGAAAGGTTAGATAACTTTTTCAAGATGTTGCCTATGAATGGCAGAGTAGAGAATTGAACGAGTTTCATTTGTTTTTGTTTTGAATTCCAATGCCTCTGCTCCTAACACTCTCCAAACTGTCTTCACTGCCTCACTACACTTAACGTGAAATTGCTTCCCTCTTGTACTGGATTGAGGGAGAGTCTGCATTTCACTTCTCTCTCTCTCTTTTTTCTTAAAAAAAAAAAAAAAATTGCTTCCCTCCTGTGTAGGAGGGAAGGCGAATCTGTTTCTTACAGCACTTCACCCATCTTCTGTCCGTGGCAGACACCACGAGTCGATGATTACACTCTGTCCCAGTGAGTTATCTCAAGAATTCCTCTCCCCCTTTTCTACAGGAAGTCACTCCCAGTTAGTTAGCAATGAATCCTATTGCTATTCCTGGCCTAGAACAATGCCTCTCACATCAGTGTGCTTAGCAAATTGTTGTTAGAGTGTTCCTATTTTCTTCATTTAACAGATGAACAAATAATAGAGAATTAAATAAGACGCCATTCACCTGGAGATATTAATGTCTACCTCATTGGGTTTTGGGAGGAGTAATTGAATTAATGCACCTAGAACATCTCAAATAGTGTCTTGGCACAAGGTAACTTAGTTATTAGTACGACTACTCAGAGGCACATGTGTTGTATCCATAGAAATAGGAAGGCAGTTGGCAGTTACCAGGGGCTGAAGGGAGGGAGGAAGGGATGAGGTGCGACTGCTTAAGGGGTATGAGGTTTCGTTTTGGGGTGATAAAAATGTTTGCAACTAGATAGAGGTGGTGATTGCATAACATTGTGACTATACTAAAGGCGACAGAATTGTATGGTTCCAAATGGTTGATTTTGTGTTATATGAATTTGCCCTTCATTAAAAAAATTCAGAGGTTGTATTGGATGGGACAAGATGAGGGAGATCTGAGACTGAGTGCTGCCTTAGATTTTGCTCCTTGGGCCCCTTGCTTACCTTGCCTCAGTCCCAGCCCTGGTAATGTAACCAGAATTTGAACCTAGGCCTTTAGTTCTCTAAGTAAGGGTTCTTTCCACTTGAGTCAGTTGCTTTAGAAATCAGAGAAAGTCTGTCCTCACTAGTGGAGAGTTGTGATTGGTGTGCTGATAATTGAAGCTGGAGGAGGTGTTGTCCTCAGTTCAGGCAGTAAAACAAGTGAATTTTTAAAGCCCTTTATAGTTTACAAAGCAGTTTTAGAGAACAATGCGTTGCAAATAATAGGAAATTACTGTACCTAACTCATCTAATGAGCATAGTCAACATGACTCAAAGGGAGGGGTGGGTAGGAAGGAAAGTCTTGAATGTTTATAGCCAGAAACTTCTCTTCCTGCACTTGGAGTCCGTCTTTACTGACTGCAAAGGAAATGCAATGACTTCAGAATGGTATCTATTAAAAGTGAAGTGACATCATTCTCCTCCCTGGTCTGTAAGCAGCTCCACTGAGCTTGCGTGCAGCATTAATGGGGCTGGTGACAGCCGCTTAGTCTAGGCTAAATAGACCTTAGGGTGCAGTCATGACTTTGCCATAAGCGTGAAGCGACTGGGAGAGTCCTCGTGAAAACAAATAAAATCTCAGATCTTCCACAGCTAATCTCTTTGCAGTTTGCTTTATTTATAACTGTGTCAATGTGTTGTAGCAACAACCCATTTTGTATACACAGCCACTCACTGCTCATTAATAAACAAGAAGATATTAATGAACAGTCACCTCTCATTGTAAGGCAACTTGACATGCAGACCATGGCTAAGAATTAAGTAGCAAAAGATGGTTTTAATTTATTACATGTTGTTCTTGTCTCTGTGCTAGAGGAATTCTGAAGTGGCCTTGACCTGATTTCTGGTCAAAGGGGAAGCCAGCGTCCAAGGGCAAGCTCACGTGTCTGCCGTCTATCTCCTTGTAGCCCTGTCCCTAACGTGTCAGCAGGGCAGAGGGGAGTGCACGGAAGCTACTTCTGCTGCTTACAAAACTTTAAAGAGATCTTGACACCCTTTTCAGATATTCTTTTCCTTCTTTCTTAAAGCATGAACCTTCTCCCTCTGCCACTGGAGATATAAATGGCATGTTTTCTGTCTCCCAAATCTAATAGTCTAATGGGAAGATGATCATAGAAAGAACTATCTGTGATATAGGTGATAAAGACCATTATAAGGGGACTGAGTATGAGGTAAGCAGACAGGAGATGTTTAACTGTATTGATTCTATTGGGCTTAAGGGTGTGATATACGGCCAGATTAGTGGGGGGTTGAGAGAAGAGATAACATTTAAACTGAACCTTGAAGGATTTCTTTGGATGATGGAGTGGTAACAGGGTGTGTGTGTGTGTAGGATGTGTGTGTGTGTGTGTGGGGGGGTGTGGAGTGTGTGGTGTATGCGTGTGTGTGCATGTGGTGAGGATAGAGAGGAAACTTTTGCAGAGCAATGAAAGAATACACAACTCAGCACTTAATTGAGCTTGGAAAGAGAAAGGCTGAGTGTTGCATGGCTGGCATGTGGGGACTAACTGGAAGGGAAAGAATGAGTTGAACAAATCTTGTGTTGCTATTTCATCAGCGACGAAAAACAAAGATGTGGAAAAAATTAGGTGTTCTACTTTAAGTTCACAAAGATAAGAATGTAGAGAGTAATGGAAAAATGGTGCAAAGGGAAAAAGTGATTCTTTGAGATGCTAAGAAGGACAAAGCTTTCTGTATTCCTAGGAACGATTTTATCATAATTTTAGACTTCAGATGTTGGAAAATACACCATGGAGGGCCTGTCTGAGCAAAGCTGTTAAGAGAGAAGGTACTTTAATGGTCTATACTGCCAGGTCAGCATGCTGAAGTGGGCCTTTTGTTTGTGGCCCCTCTTTGTGACCTTATGTGGGGTCACTCTTTGTTTGGTTTTCATTTTCAGCATTTTAATTTCCAGAATTGCTTTGGTGATTAACTTTTTCGGTTAGTCACGTGTTTAGGTGAATTTTAGGTGAACAACATTTGTGTTTAAGTAAGATTTCTATACCCTTAAGGTTGATTTCATTGGCCTGGGGTTAATTTTTTTCTCCTTGGGGAATATAATTCTGTTTTTGCCACAAGACTCAAAGGGAAACTTTATTATTACTTTTGAGTACTTTGAGTATTCTGTATCAAGTACAGTGATATTTGTCAGAATTTATAAATTGAAATATACGTGCTGAACATTTACCAGTCCCATGAGCTTTTCCCTGTTCTCCATTCTGCTCTGTGCCCAGCACTGACTGGGCTTCCTTGCCTGTTGCTGTCCAAGGCACCAGCACATCAGAGAGAGGCTCCATCCCCCCCTGGGCTTGGGTTATCACTCCTTCCCCTTCTTTCTGCAGGCCTGGGGATGCTAAGGCTCCCTCTGGGCCTCACCATCCGTGATCAGTGTGCTGACTTTCGCATCCCCCCCTGCCCCCACCCCACCTCACATCTTTGTAAACTCCTCAATTGCTCATATGAATATTTCGCGTTTCCTGCAGGAGCCCAAAAATGCATTACTTAGGTATATTCAGAGAAAGTGTATTGAAGATGTATATATGGTAATTTGCATTCATATAGTAAGTTTATTACAAAAACTGAATTTGGTGGGTGTGTAATTAGGAAACAGCTTTTTTCCTTTATATTAAAATACAATGTAAAAATTATTTTGAAGATATTCTCACAACTAACAACATGCTTCAGGACTCTTTATTCCCCACCTCTTGAAAATAGCTCAGCCAGAATCATGTTTGATTATTATTGCTGCTGCTGCTGCTAAGTCGCTTCAGTCGTGTCCGACTCTGTGCAACCCCATAGACGGCAGCCCACCAGGCTCCCCCGTCCCTGGGATTCTCCAGGCAAGAACACTGGAGTGGGTTGCCATTTCCTTCTCCAGTGCATGAAAATGAAAAGTGAAAGTGAAGACGCTCAGTTGTGTCCGACTCGTAGGGACCCCATGGACTGCAGCCCACCAGGCTCCTCCGTCCATGGGATTTTCCAGGCAAGAGGACTGGAGTGGGTGCCATTGCCTTCTCTGTGACTATTATTGAAGAGCCATATTTTCAAATATTACAGAACCTAGTTGAACCTTAAAAAAAAATCCACACAACTCATTTTGCATACAGTTTAAAAGTCCAGCCCAAGTCCCCCACTCTCTCCTCAGCTAAGACCTGACTCAAAGCTTGGGGTTTGGCAGTGTGAAAGATGGACATCATATGTTCTTTCACTCTTTCCTTTCTTCCCCGTCCCACCAAACTCTAATATTATGGGTTTCTTTTTCTTTATTTGGCTGTGCCATGTGGAATCTTAGTTGCTCAACCAGGGACCTAATCTGGGTCCTGGCAGTGAACGTCCTAACCATGAGAGCACCAGTGAATTTCCCTGCATTTTCTTAAATATCCAGCCTCTGAGTAAGCTATCAGCCTCCCTTATCTGACAGGCCCTGGCTTCTCTGAGTAGTTCATTTGAAAGCTTCCTCAGTTGGTTCCAGGCTGGGTAAAAAGATCACTTTCTCACCTCTCTATATAAATTCACCTATGACAAACTTCCTTTCTGATGAATCTCTAGTTTTATTTTTCATAAGCTTCTGGGGAGGTGAGCAATGGGTTAGTCTGGCTCCCTCTTTAACAATTTCTGAGAGGATATGTCGCTAGAGGATGTTTCAATAGGTTTGAGGTGTTAGCTAAAATTTCCTGGTTAGACATCAGGAAATGTCTAATCTCACATCCTATTATGTTTGCATGCATTAAAAGGCATATTAAGAAAAGAAAAAGAGGATATGGACGGAAGAAAGTGAGAAAAAATTAGTGAAAAAATAGAAGTGGAAAGAGAAGAAAACCAAGAAACAAGACCCCTCACCTGATGTCCTGAAATTCCTGCTGATGTCTTGCCTTTCTTTGGCTGACTCTCAGTCTAACATTGCCCTTGGATGCTAGATTATGATATTTTATTTGGAAAGAATTCAATGTAGTGAAAGAAGTGATAACTTCAAAAAGTAAAAAACAGACATTCAGGAGCACTGTACTAAATTGCTAAATTTACTTTTTAATAGTAGTGGACATTGAATTTGTTTCTCTGACATCCATTTCAGCTTCCTTGAGTGACAACCATGATGTTTAGGAGGGATGAATGAACCTTATCTTCAGAGGCAGAAGAGGGCCCTGATTGATCTGAGTCTCTCAGAGTAATCCTATTTGCTTGTTGCAGTGACTGATGCAGGTTTAAGCCAATCAGAGCATAGTATTTATTTCCCATCCTATAAAGACTGCATCTGAGTCGTCCAATAAGAGGGAAGCCTGGGACTTTTGTATGATGATATTTCCAAAAACTGGCTGTGGCTTTTGTTCTACCCTTGAATGTGAGACTGTGGAACCACCATGAGTGCTGCTGGTGGGCACTTCATGAGGCCAGCCCATGAACAAAGCCAACATTCAAAGGCAGACAGAACTGAGAGACGTGCAGAAAAATTGAGGGAAAGCCCAGGCTGAACCATGTCTGGGACCACCTCATGGAAAGCCCTATGGACTTTTTAGTTAGGGAAGCTAGTAAATTCCCTGAATTTTATCTGTGGGGCGGCAGGAGCTGTGTTGGGTCTTTGCTGCTACAAGAAGGCTTTCTCTAGTTGCGGTGAGTGGGGGCTACTCTCTGTTGTGGGACACAGGCTTCACAACAAGTGGTTTCTCTTATTGCATAGCACAGAATCTAGGGCACACAGGCTCAGTAGTTGTGGCCCATGGGCTTAGCTGCTCTGCGGCATGTGTGATCTTCCCGGACCAGGGATTGAACCTGTGTCCCCTGCATTGACAGGCAGATTCTTAACCACTGGACTACCAGGCAAGCCCAATTTCCTGAATTTTTAAAGACATTTGAATAATGTTTCTATTATTTGCCACAAAAATAATTTCAATTGATTACATTTTTGTTGCATTTGAGTAATTTAAACAGAATTAAAACAAACAGTCCTCATTAAAAGACAGTATTCACTTAGAGCTTTTGAATAGACTTCTAGTTTTTCATATATGCACATTGCAAAGGATCAAAACTAAAATCACAAAAGCTGAACCTCATTGCTTCATTCCCATATGGAATTGCAAGGAAAACAAACTTTAATATTACAGTTGCTTGAAGATAAAGGAAAAATTATAGATGAGCCAGCACTGAAATGGTTTGAAAGATCCAGCTATTTTGACATAAACTTCTGCCACGCTAGGCAGAATAGAAATGAAGAAAAACTGATGTGAGTTTGAAGTCTACTGTTTGTCAGTTACTTTCATAAACATTATCACACTGAAGTCTTACAATAATCCTTTGAGATTGTCATTATCCCCTCCCCAAACTCCACCCCCATGTTACATTTGTGGAAACAGCCTCAGAACAAAAAAGTAATTTGTTCAAGATCATATAGCTATTTAGTATCAGAGGCAGGGTTTGGGTCCAGATTATGCTCTTTTCACAATCTCCATGTTTCTTTATAAGATATAGCTGGAAACTACAGGGGTCTGTAGGCAGTCAGGATTGGAGCAATTTAGAGTGCATCTATCAGTTGCCTTGTGTGCCGGAGATCTGTTTTATTGCAGAGCCTAAGCTTTAGCTTTTTTGGTATTATTTAATTTACAAACAAGTCTGGTCCTCTGCCTTTGGAATAGCAAACACAAAGGAAGAATTGGATTCTGTAGTGTTTGCTTCCATATAACCTAACCAAACATAGGATGCCTTATTCTGATGCACTGCTTCCTTCTCGTTTTCCTAAAAAGATTCACGAACCCTCTGCCAATATGATAAGTGTTGGGGGAAATGAGTTTCTGAATTGTCATTCTAGGAATTGCCTTTTGCAGCTGAAACTTCACCACTTAGTTAAGCCTTCCCCTGCCATCTGCTCAGCTCCAAACTGCTGCAAAGGTTGAGAGGATCTGCTTAAATTACAAAGAACCATATCTATGATAGAAATTCCATGCCATGAAATCTTCTCTAATTTTTCCAGCTTGACAGACACTGGCTCCAGCGGACCACACTTTTAGGATTTCCAGGGTACTATCGCAAGGTATCAGGTCTTCAAAGGCAGCCTTTCTACAACATTTAGGACTGTCACCTTCTCTACCTGTGAAAGTATCTTCATGGGTGCTTATTAGTAATGATATATTCACAAAATTAATAACAAAGTTCCAATAGTTTTAGAATAGGTTATCTTACC